TCTTGATGAGACGGTTCTAATGATCGTATTTCCATCGAAATGTAATCATTAGGTCGAAAGTTATTTCATTTAACAATGTCTCAAATACAACTCATCTAGAAATTACTTTTAACTATTCACTTTCAGATAAAAAAATAAAAAGTATTGTAGAAACATTTCCAAATATAATTCATTTAGATTTTAAAGATAGTATAAGTTTTAATGATAAATCACTATTTGTAATAGCAGAATCATATTCTAATTTGAGATATCTTAATTTATAGGATGCTCAAATAACTGATAAAGGTTTATATGTAATTGCATGATCATGTTGTAAATTAGAATATCTAAATATTTCTTACTGCAAAAATATTAGCAATAAATCTTTGTTTGAAATCACAGGAAATTGTTATGATTTGCAAGAGATTTATTTTGCCGAAATACATTATATCACTGATAAATCTATAAGTTACATCTAAACTCATGTTCAAATTTACGAAAACTTGATATTGTGTTGGATTATGGAGATGTTAAAGATGCTAGTACTTTAATGCAAAGATATTTTAATATAGAGTATCTCGATTTTGTAATGCCATGACTTTATGAGATAATTGATTAATTATAGCCATTATCAAAAGATCTCTGAATTTGAGACATATAGAAATCAGTGGTAATGATATTGATGATAAGATTACTAAAGCATTGGCTCATACTTATCATAAATTGAAATATTTCGATCTAAGTTGCTGTTATTTTGTCAGTGAACCATCGATTTTAATGTTATACGTTCCTGCCCAAGACTGCAGCATCTTGAACTCAGATACTGTAATATTACTAGTATGACTATCAGAGAAATTGCTCACTCATGTCTCAATTTAAAATTTCTAGATTTGGAAGGATACAGTGGTGAGCAAAGGAAATGCAACCAGAATTGCACATCGTTATAAGCTTATATCTCGTCAACCACGAATGCTAGGAATATGAATATGATTTTGCATTTATTTTAAACCCCAAAACCTAGAGAATATTCAGTAAAAATTTGAAGTGCGATTATTAAGA